GGGGGGGGGGGGGGAACTTATAGAAATAAAACATCGAAATACAAATAGTATTGACACGGATCACTTTAAGATAAGCTATTCTTAGCCTTAAATTACTCTATTGTCCAACCGGTCTTTATTATGTATGCATACAGCCCCATGAATTTGTGGATGGATTTGTAACAAAGGAGAAAAAATGACTCGCGTAGCGAATACGAATGTTATTCCTACGTTTCGAGCAGCAGACAAGAAACGCTCTCAGGCTTTTTTTTTTTTTTTTTTTTATAACTACCTAGTTTTTGTTTGAATATTTAGAATATAAATCAGCGTCATTTGAATTAAAATCCTCTGGAGCAGGAGAGCAAACGCCTTTATCAACATCACATGAAAATTTTTTTTAAATATGCCTTAAAAAACTACCTCAATGTGGTAAAATGCCAAAAAGAGATCAAAAAGTACCCCTTGCACGAATAGCACAAAATAAACTAAAATCCTCGTTATACTAAACAGCACAGATCCATACTTGACTACTTAATCAACATCTGAGTCAGTGCTGAGCACGCACTGACAACATATTACAATAAGAACCTATAATGAAGTGTTTACACTAAAGGAAGGTGATGGAGCGAGTGCTAGCTGTTAGTGCTGGGGCCTTTTTGATAGAGGGAGGGAGTTCCACACGAGGAAACAAAACCGGAAAATACCTGTTCTTAACACACGGACTACAGTGAAAACACCTTCAGCCTTATCAAGTCTATACTTTTCCTCGCAAGGACAAGCTCCAAGATGTCTAGCTGAAGCCAAGTGGCAAAAGGGTTTTCAAATATTTAACTGAGAAGAAGCCTTTTTTCCCTCATTTTTCTATTCTTTTGTCTTAATTTTTAGCAGGCTTGTCGTCTTCAGTAGCAAAGGGGTTTTCATATTTAGCAGGCGAGGAACAGTATTTTCTATTCGTTCTTCTTACCTTGAATTTTTTAGCAAGGTTGTCGTCTTTAGGTCCCTTGAGTTCTTCATTTAAAGATGCATCTTCATCTTCGACAAGGTCAGACGTCACAAACCCACCAAAAACCAGAGTCAAAAACATCAACGCAATCACAACTTCCAAACGTACCATGGCGTGAAGATTAAGGTCACAGCTTTAACCTGCTTAGCAAACGCTCCGGCTCTGRGAAATTGTGATATGGTTACGGTAGAACTGAAGCTCTTTACTGAATATCAAACTAAAGCTTACTACTAGCACCTAGTGATATGATGAAGTCTTATCACCTTCTCTTCCCACCTGTTTCAATACACTGAACAACGTTAACTTCTAATGTGATATGTTACCATGACAACTGTTTAATCAGCGGTCTTTATATGTAAAGTTCTAATTTTGTTTGTATTCTCTTTTTTAACTTACTTGACATGGGTGAAACTTGTTCTAATGCGTGGTACACGAAATGTAAAACGACGGACCTCCAAGAATTTCTTTTATTTTTGGATTTATTTTCAAATGTCTTTTTTTGGYGATTGTGTTGGTGATGCTAATGATGATGGTGGTGGTGTTGGGGATCAATGCGTTGATTAATAAGGGATTTTTATAATATTCTTTTTGGCTTTTCGTCGAAATCATATTCCGAAATTTTAGGTCAACAGTAAAGTATTATTAGCTTGTTTAAATTGTAGAAATTTTTGTTGCTGAAAACAAAGCTTTTTGACTGATTGTTTGTTTTGACATCAGAATTTCTCATTGTCATGAAAAGAATTTATTCACTGTTTCAAACATGTTGACTTAATATAAGCGACTTCATGAAGTAAAACAAACTAAAGCATTGAAATCCAAGTATCTTCTGTTCAAATAAGGCTCCACTGAAGTGAAATCATTAATGGAAAACCAGAGATTTTGGGGCAAAATGTAATCAAAAGTTGCACTGTGACAGAAGTGAACCTTCTAGTCTTGCGTAATGTTTCCTAGAACACGTGTCATTCTGTTGAGCAATATTTCTTTGTTTACGCAAGATGAATCATACATAAAAATCACTAGGACTTTAACAAAGGCTCTATAATCAAGTGCCTGACACGTGGCCAAAAATGGCGTGCAACTGATAAACTCATGTCATTCTCTTCAGCAATATTTCTTTGTTTATGCATGAGAAAGCATACATTAAAATCAGTAGGAATTGAACAAAGGGCTCTCTACGCAAGTGCCTGACACGTGGCCAAAAGTGAAGGGAAAATTAAAAGTTAAAAGTTTTCTATCATAAAATCAATATTAAAAAATCCTGTTACTTCGGAGAATTAATGGGGATATCATCTTTTCATTTAAAAGCGTTTAGCTCTAAGATGAACTTGAACTCATAAAAAACTAACACCGCAAAAAAAAAAAAAAAAAAAAAAAAAGGGGTTGAGTCAAGTCCAGTTACGCCGGTTATTATCTTTACATTCAAACACTTTTGATTTTCTTGCTTACAAAACGGTTCTTCGTAATTTGAAAATTATTTTTTCTTAATTTGATTTAAATGAGATATTTACTATGGCATCCCAACTGTAAGAAAATGGCTATTCTTTTATGAGCTTTGCCACTCTGAAGAAGAGAGCATCAAAAAGCTATCGAAAACAACTGACTATTAGAGTTTCATTTCAATGCGATAAAAATCCATTGTATTCATGAAGTAAGATTAACCATCCAATCAGGTGCTTACGCTTACGCATGTACACTAACAAACTATCAGCTGACCAGAAATCACCAGGCGTCTTGAATAATTTCTACTTTTTAAAATTATTTAATAACATAAGCTGTTGTTTGTTTTGTTACAATTTTTCGTACCAGCTGTTCATCCAAATCCAACACATGTAACCGTAAATGATATTTTTTAAAGAGAATAAGTGCCTTCGATATTATATGAATTTCTGTCAAACTTGTCAGTAATGTTATGCCAAATATTTCAAGTTTATTTGCTTTTCTAGTTTCCTGAGTTAATAACAGGTATCGAGTGCTGACTTTTCTTGTTTCTTGGCAGGATATAAAAAAGAGAAGAGAAGACAGCAACTCTAGTATTTGTGCTGTAGCTCCAAAGTTCTATTCAATCAGAACTGAGCTTCTTCGACTCTAAAAAGTTTATGTTTGAACACACACACGCACCCACACAAAACCACCTTAAAATCTTATAGATACTCTGCTTGAAACAGCCTCTGGGTTGATAAAAGTCACACAGTGACAAAGGAATTAGGCACATACGGTTTGCAAATAAGAAAAATAAGAAACGAGTTGCTGCATGTTAGACGAGTTGCTGAAGAGCTGCTGCGAATAAAAAACGAGTTGCTACAAATAAGAGAATTGCTGAAAATATTAAACGCCAGCTTGTTGCTTTTTTCTTTTTTCACTAAAATCAATGCGGAAGTAACTCAGTTCTCTAATTGTAATAATGGACAAAATAATGATTACAGATTTTGTCCTTCCAATTAATGAAATAAATCAACAATACAAGTCTATCTATCAGACACGGAGTATATACTTATTTCAATAAAGATAGTCACCTGAAAAACTATAAAGCTGAGGCCGATAAGGATTATGGGTAGATACATTTTACATGTTTCAACCGCTTGATAACTGTTGATGGACTTGCATATCTTACCAGTTACAGTCTCACCTCTCCTGAGCATCATCAAGCTGCAGTTTATATCAAAAAAGCTTTACTTGTTTGAAATGAATTGTTTCCCATGATCCTCAGTGATCTCAGCTTTCTAGTTGGTGACTAACTTTATTGAAATAAGTATATAACCACATTAGTAATACTGCTACTGCACCAGTAAACATTATGGGCTCACGAGAGTGACGTATTCTCGGCAGTTACTGAGAAAAGTGACATCACTCGACTTTTGGATTAGCAAAAAGCTCTACTAGTAATCTCACTTTTAAGCGTTTAAGCTTAACTGTTCATCCCAACGTTTGTAAGATTAAGGAAATCTTTTATTTTAAAGAAAAATCTGGGTTTAGAACGAGAAATACTGGATGAAAATACAGCTATTAGTGCTAAAAATAAAAGATAGCGTGGAGTCATATGTCTTTTGAACGAAGATTTGTCAAGGAAGGAATTAAGAACATGTTTTTCCTTTACAAGAGATTTTTATGATACCATTTACTTTCATAAGATGCCAGGTTTTTAGATTTTTTTAAATAAGTGAGACATTTTAAGATTTATGAAATTGTCGTGTTTGCATGGATTTTGTCAAGGAAAAAAAACAAGGAAATATATGTATATATCCGGCAATTTTGAATAAAATTATGTGGCCTCAAAAGGTCTTGTTCATATACGGTTATCTTAGATGAAGTTTATGATTTATCAATGCCGAAAACGACGAGGAAAGGTTTTATTGATATAAGGAACTTTGAAACGAACTATTTATATAAGGACTTTAGATATAGTTAAACTTTATTCAAAAGATTTGATAATTGATAATTTATAATAAACACATAACGTGCAAAAAGCAAAATCAAGGGCTAATCAAGGCAGGTTATTGTCGGATATTCGGCATTTATTCTTTGTAAAGGAAAGAAGAAGAAAAAAAGAGAAAAAAAAATGGGAGGGCTCTTCTGACAACCAAGTGAATGATTACCAGATGCTCAGTAAAGCCTGAGTTTTTTTGTTATGAACGAATTCATGGCCAGATACTATCATGATAAACCAAGAGAAAAAAGATACAATTGCTTAAATCTATTTATACTATTAAAACAAGAAAACACTTCTCACACTTCCTCACGCCGGAATATATCAAAGTACTGAATTTAGTCGTACTCGTGCTGGCGATAGATAGATTATCCTTAGATATGCCATAAAAGGGCCCTCGGAAATAATCAATATATGAGTCATTTCGTTCTTGTACTTTCTCTAATTATAGCAGATGCAGGATTATTGAGAAATGCTATTTAACAAAATGGCCATCAATTCTGACAAGTTCTGTGGTGGAAACGGTTTATTTTTTTCTGCTGTATATGGAATTCTTCACAATCGTTTAAAAAGTTTGTAAATATGTTTGAGAATGCAGAGAAAAGCTCAATATAAAACGCGTAAACCTGCTCGACCTGATAATATACCCAAATGTCAGATTGTAATCGGTGAAAGTCAACGTTTTCCCAATATTTTTAAAACTCTATTAATCAGTTACTTCGGAGCCAACATTCTCTTACTTTAATGAATTGATGAATTAGGAGAAGTTTTATATCAAAAAAGGATATCAAAAACCTCCTAAAATTTGACAGAAATGTTGGGATAATCAGTAGTCCATGCCAAATGTTAGAATTATGAACGGCAGTTGATAAATATGAACTGACTGAATCAACGGAAATGAAAGGAAGAGATAGACACTGAATTTTGACATTTGGTCGAAGCATGGAAGTAAAATAAGATGTTGGGGAAACAGAGCCGGATAAAAAGAACACTTTCAAGTAGAAAAAACTGACTCAAAACAAACTCATTTTCAGCTGCTTGAAACCGCCTGCTTAGTTTTATACTCGGAATTTGGCCAATTTCAATTCAGTTCATAAATCAAACAAACTAGAATAGAAGATAAAAAAGAGAAAATGAAAAGTCTTCTTATGCTGTCATTCAAAACAAACCTTTGTTGTGCACAATTTAAATGTATTGTACGTGACTTGTAGATATTTGGTTTTTCGACTACTACGACTATTTTCATCTTAAAAGACAAAAATATTTTCATGTTGTATCACAAAATCGGAAATAAAATTTTCCGTATTGAAGTGGAAAAATGGTAACAAAGATTTGTAGCATTTTTTGAAGAAGAAATATCCTTCCAAAGGCCGAGAAATATACCTTTTTATCACTAAAAATCAAGTGAAAGAAGCTATTCAAGGGTACGCTTCTTCAAGCCAAAAAACCTAAGGCTGACGAATGAAGGTTTTTGTTCCTAATGCTTTACACGTGGCGGTTACATCCGCCCTGAGGTTTGTTCTAGGGCTAAACGAATTGAATAGTATGCGTTTTAGATCCTGAATAGTTTCATTAAATAGAGGAAGTGCTATCTCCCGTCAACAAAGACTGGGTTACAATATATTTAAAAATCTTAAATATAGACAAAGAGGGTTTTGTCGTGCGATTTTGATTTATACGCTGTAAGTGTGCTGTTCCGAAAACCAAGTAGCGTTTTGGAATTGGGTTTTCGAGTGCAACCGGCGTTCTTTCATGGCGATATACGTACTGGCCATCGACTAGACGCTTTTATAACAGAGCTGTAATAATATTTAGTAAAAGGGATGAAAGAACGAGC